AGGAAGATGGAAAGCCCAGCTGCCTTTGGCATCTCCTTGGTTCTGCTGCCACCTTCAGGACTTCTCCAAAGCAGGAAAAAGTATTCCATTGCAAGTGCTTGGTTGCCAAAGGAAGTTGGAAATTTAAGATGAACGTGCAGCACCATTCGAAACCATCAGAGGGGGATAAGAACCAAGCAATGAACATATCTACTTGCTGATGCCCAGATCACAACTGAAAAACAGCTCAGAGGCCAAATTTTGCCAGCAGGAGGTGAAATAGGTCAAGAAGACACCACGTTTTGCCCACCGATTCATCAAGCTAAGCATCAACCAAAGTATCTCCTTGACAAAATCAGGATGATGCTCTGGCTGGATATGGAAATGAGAAATGTTCCTATCACTATTATTTATTAATTCATTATGTTATTAATATAATCAATACTCAATTGATTATGTATTATTACCATCACATTCCTCTAGCCCAAAGTACTAGTATTGAAATTAAGGACTACAGATTGCTCCTAGAACCTATCTGGATGGGAAGTTACTCATTCATCTTTGAGGTATATACTGGATGTCTTGGAGTAAGAGTTGGTATAAAAGAAAGGACTTTGTTGTGGTATTGAACTGGATAAGCCACCTCACAGTTTAAAATTCAGAAAATTACTATGCATAGGAGATAAGATCAGCACAGTCTTCTTCATTTTGCATAGGGTTGTGTGAACGGTCAATCCACAATTCAAAGGTGGTTTGTTCAAATCTCATAAATCAACCAAACGTACCAAATCAATTTGTCCAAATGATTTGGTCAGATCAATATGGCAGTTCAACTGTTTCCATATGTATGTAAAAGCACTTTTTTCCAAAGTGCCTTTCATTTAATTATTTTAACATCAATTTAACATTAATGATCAAAATCTAATTTTGAATAGAAACAAATCAATATTTTGAAATGAAATCATAATCCAAATCTGATCATTGGCACTTCCATACTACTGAACTTTGAATGTTGTTTTCAGGTGAGAATTGTGTATTTATTTATTTATTTATTTATTTATTTATTTATAATAATTTAGTGAAACTTGCACATTTCTTTTTGCTAAAATATGTTGTGTTGCTCTTTGCGATGTTGTTCCAGAGAATGAAATTTAATATATAACTTCTTAGGGGGTAATAGTAACCAAGGTGTTGTAAATATTGGCAAATGTAATCAGGTCAAGCTTCCATCGATTCAGTAAATTAGCAAAGAATTCCATTTGGGGCATTCCTATATTATAAAAGTGGTGTAATTCTCTCTCAGTGGATTTTTTTTTCCTCAGAAGTAACTGTACAAATATCTACTGGAAATACTCTAATTTCCTGCACTGAGCAGGGCTTTGGGTTAATGGCTTACAAGTCTTCTCCAGTCCTGGTTTTAACAATGAACGTTGAACTCTAAGAAAATCTGTTTCTACATCTGTGGTGTTCTTCTAATAACAACCCCGAATTCCCCACCTTTCCCTTTCTAGCCACTAACTGTACGTCACTGACAGATGTTTGGGTAATGGACAGTGAGAACCTGAGGACTGTTGGACAGAAAATGCAAAGTCATATGGCAAGAAAAACAGTTCTCTGTGGTTTCCGAAAATACCAGATGGATCTGAAGCATGTTTGTTGCTGAAGTGTTACCAGTTGCCTTCAGAAGCAGAGAAGGAAGCATTCAAGCTTAGTGTGTATGGATGGGGCATTACATGATTACATAGATTTTCTTCCTTCTTGTGGTTATTTTCATGGAAGTCTTGTGGATCTTCTGGAAAATGGGGCCACTCGGCCCTATGGAAGCCATTTTGGATAGCACTTCGCTAATGGATATATTAATAGTGTGAAGCATAGAAATACAGCAGGATGATACCCTCTTTTTTAAGCCATTATTTTTAGGCTACAGGTACCACTCAAGGCTTTTCAGGTAAATCAAGAACAAAGCTCTGTCAAGATGAATCGATTATTAAATCGGATTTACAACAAAATGTCACACAACACTCCCGTTCAGGAGTCTACATTCCATGAATAATCGTACCTGGATTTTGGTTGGATTCTGTTTCTGTTTTTCAAATTTCCAGTATTCTGTGGTCCCTAAAAATGCCTTCTAGAGCAATTTCAGGGCAGTTTTCTTTATGTACTTTTTCTTCCTAAAGATTTGTCATACTTCTGGATATATTGGGGCTTCCTCGATCTTTCTAAAACCTTCCTATTATGGGTGGATGTTACCATTTTGGATATAAAAGAACCTGGTTTTTTTTTTTTGGAAAATGGAGAAGAACAAAGCTAAGTGGATTATAATTTTCCCAGTCAGAGAGCAAGAATAACCATCGTCCTGCATCGAAAGAAAATCGCATTGCGTTTTTGGATTCATGCCCAGGAATCTTTCCAAAACACTTACTGTTTCCCAGCAGAAGAGGTTCATACGTAAAATCCATTGGACAACATGGAGCAGTTTTACCTACCTCTCAATGTCTTCCTTTCTGTATCTGCCATTAATTTGTAAGGATGCTACAATGGTGCTACCCTTCTCTTTGTATTTGGAATGATCCAAGACAGGTATGGTCCTGGATGAGAGCACCTTAATTCTTCTGATTCAAAACATCAAAGGAAGCTCATGGTGGACCTGAAATTCAGGTAGGAAGGGAACCAGCTTCCCTGTGGCTTTAATCTCTCTTCAATTGTTATGACTGATTGTTACAATCTGAATTATTCAAGCGTGGGAGTATTTAAGAAACCAGTGACATCCTATTATTCCTGAAATAAATGACTATCAACCAAATATTTGAGAATGGAAGAGCAATGTTGATGATGGGTTGCAAACGAATGTGGAATTCATGCTCTTTCATGGAATTTCATGGAAATAGATTACTTTTTGAGCAGAGGGTTCTTTGTATTCAAGGGATTATCTTAGTGGGAAAAGGAATTCCATTACTATCCAGTTGCCTGCTAGTTGAGAAAAATGTGGAAATATAATTGTGTCTGCAAAATGAGTAAGTCCTGCAAAGTGAATTACGACTTTCAGAAAGGACCTTTGTAGAAGCAAGGGTGTTAGATTCAACTCAAAATGGGCAAAGCAGATATGCCCTACAAAGTGAGCGATGGCGTTGTGAATAAAATCCAAGCTGAAAGCATTGTCAGTTCTAGTATGTTGAAATGAACGTGGACAAATCGGACAGATTTGCGTTGTCCTGCTTTAATTTAAAAAAAGAAAAACTCAGTTTTTCAATCCTCTTTATGAAATAATAAGTACATTTTCACCAGTTTGTATTTAAAAAAAACAACACCCATAATTCTCACCCATCTGCACTGGTCAAATTCAATAGGAACAAGCATTCTTTACTAGCATTAGGATAACTAGGCATGTTCTTATTTTATGTAGCAAGCTAGTCATCCAAAATCCTTCACCAAGGAAGAAGATTGATCAGAATCATTCTCTCTCATGCTCAGTTTATCTTACTTTCAGGGGGTTTCTGTCCTGCAAATGCAGAATTTTGAAAATTGTGGTAGTCTGGTTAAAATATAAACTGAGCAAAATTATCACCTATGCTTAGCTAAAACGATTAGAGAAAAAAAATAAGGAAAACGTGTAAACTTTGCAAGATACAAAATATGGTTACGGACTAGAGATATTTCTCTCTGAAAGAGGTCTATACCCTAAAAAATCAGTAGAATGACACAGACAATGAGTAAAGAAATTGAGTTTACATTTTTCAGGAAAAACATCTAGTTGGAGTCAAGAGCTCACTCTATACTGATTAATTGCTTAATTACATTAAATGTTTAATTTCTGGTGTCCAGAATTGCCCATACAAGAAGAAATGGAGATCGCAAGTCTTTCTGTGTTTTAGTACTATGTGAATTGTCAATAAAATAAAATAAAAGGAAAAGTTTTTATTTTATAAAAATAAAAGCTCTGGATAGGAAGAAACAGATTAAAAAATGTATTGTCGTCTGAATTGTTCAGAGCTGGTGGAAGCCACTTGGATAGATTAATCTTTGCGATCATCTCATGAAGATGTGTGGAACCTATACCTCTCCAGAAGTTACTTTCCCCTTTCAGCATAGATAATACTGAGAGATGTTGGCGCTATAATTCAACAACATTCAAGGTGGTGGTTATATGCTATGTTAACACTTATAAAGCTGTACATGACATAGGGCCTGTCTCTGATTGTTTCTGCTCACCCCACCACAACTAACATGCTATGGGTCCCTTCCATTAAGCAATGTCATCTTGCTGGAACTAGGCATCATACCTTCTCCATTGCAACATTTGCCCTGCAAAACAGCATCCATCCAGAGATTCAGAAGGTCCCGACTCTATTAACCTTTTGTAAGACTTTAAAGATGTGGCTGTTCCCTCAGGCATTTGAATGAAGATGTTGGCAAGCTCCAATGTTCACGGGTTTATATTGTTCTCTTCTTTATTATGGTTAGTAGGAATGATTCCTGCAACCTCGGACTTCTGTTATTTGGGTGGTTGATTTTCATTGTTGGTTTTAATCCTTGTACACCACCCACGGTCACTGCCATGAGACAGACAGCCAGATAAATGGTAGAAATAAATACATGGATTAATAAAATTCTCAATGGCCCCTCGTCTGATCTACTCCTTGCAGATAAATTATCTCGGGATAACTGCCTTATGTAGCTCCCCGTTCAATATTCACAGGGGTGAACTCCTACTTCTGTCTTTTTTCTAGTTGTGGATTATTCTTTTTCTAAGTTTGGGCTTTTGAGATGCAACGTCGGCTGGTGCTCTGTTGAGATCCTTGCCACTTTCCAAGATTGTCACTTCTTGCTATTTCAGTCTAAGGCAGCTCATTTTTCCCAATCAATTATTCTCCCATAACAAATATTTCTGTCCCAATGTTATGTGAAGTTCATATCTCCAAGGCTTTGCCATGTCAGAATCCTCCACCTGGGTAGATCTGGTTTCGACCAGAAAGCAGAAGTAAACTTCTGGAGGAAAGATTTTTGTATGGCCGTTACTCACTGTGTGTATCTCTTCGGCCCTGGAACCCAGCTCACAGTCCTAGGTAAGTCTCTTTAAAATGCAGATACAATTGTTTTCCAACTGTTTTTGGATTTAATTTATGTTGCTTTTTCCTTCCCAAACTGTCAAATGGAGCATCTTCGATGTGGCTCAGAGGGTCACATTCAAAGGTGCTCAGGTTTTCTCTTCAATGTTGTATAAAGAAGTCTCAAATAGGTGAAGCAATAGAATGTTTTTCTGTCTTTTTTGAGCTGATTAAAACCAAAGTATAATATCCCCTTACTTGGGATTAAACCTTGTTTACAAAGGGGGGATTAATTATTCAAGTGATCCAACTATTTGTGTTCATATTTTTTTTTGTTTTCGTGATCCTTTTTTCCCCTAGGTGTTGAGTTTTTTCCCCGTAAAACAGCATGCTAATCTGTTCTTTAATGGTTTGTCTCACACTGCCCATTGGGGGGGAGAAAAACTCAGGTAATGGTTATGTCAAAATGAAAAGCAAAGAGTGATGCAATTCTGCAATATCTTGGTTTTTGCTCATAGATAATTTAAAAATCTAATCCCATCAACTCATAGACTGTTTTCAAAAATGAATGCAGAAAAGTATATTTAAAGAAGTAATTAAATTAAAATAAGGAAAGAGGAAAAGTGTATCAAATCTCTTTCATTTCTTTGTGTGTGTGTGTTTTGCAAGGCTTTGGAGTGTGAGTTTTCATGCTATATCTGACTTTAAGAAAAAAGGCAGATGCAGTTTTAAAATATAGGGAAATAGAACTTGTAACCTTAAGAAGAATATTCAATTTTTCTCTTGCTTGAATGTTTACATTGTTTTATCTAATTCAAAGATTCCTCTTGCTAATCCCTACAGATGTGAAGACGTAAATGCAGGAAGGTTGATGATAATCCTTAAAATTCTAAACAGATTTTTTTCCCCATGAAAATAAGTCTTAGACAAGTAACATAGTTGTTTTGGTGAAGTCCACCAATGGTCATTCCTATTAAAAAGTTAGGATCTGTGACTAAAATTTTGATTCAAGGAGTTGTGGTATATCATCTAAAAATAATCTTAAAACATTATTCACATAACATTTGTACCTAATAATAAATCAGACCATATTTTAAAAGATGGATTGCTTGGTTATTTGCCAAACCTGAGCAAAACCCTCTGATACTTTTTTTAAAAGTCATTTTAAAAATTGACTTTTCATATTTGTTTATTTCATAAATGGAATGGAATTTTTGTAAATAGAGGTAAAACATGGTATAGGACCAGTCTGGGGCTAGAGATTTGAAAATTGCATACCAAAATTACAAAATCTCAAACGCCAATGGGCTAAAATCAGTTGGAACATCTCGGTTCGGTTTGTTCATCTTGTTTTTCTTTTGTTTTAATTTTAACTTTCTTTTGCTTAGAAAACAAATCAAACCACAGGTACAGCGTGAGGGATATATGACTTGGCAATAAATAATAAAATATAGAGTAAAAGCTAAACAGAGATGTTCTTACTGATTGATAGTCAACAGTGTCCAGTGCTGATCAGAACTTTGCTACCTATCAAGGTGGACTTTCTAATTTTAATTCCTCAATCCTCAGATCAACTGTTTATCCCATTAGGAAAATTATCTGTTTTCTCCCTGTATGAGATAAGAAACCAATTCCTTTGCTTGAAAAAAAACAAAACTTGCAATTAAACAGGGCACTCCCAAATATTCAATTAAAACTGGGGCATTGGATGAGGAGATATTTAACCTTTTGCTTTCATGCCCCTTTTCTCATTCTCAGCAACCGCACCTCACATTGCTGGTTTTACAACAAATTGCAAACTAGCAAAGGAATTTGTGGAAGGCAATGCTTCTACTGATCCTGTCTAGATTATTTATTTTATTGGAGTATGTGTACTACCCTTTCGTTCATTATGGAGCTGAAAATGGCCAGATCCAAAATTCGGTACCTTCAGTTGCTTCCTTGACTGATTGATTGATTGATTGATTGATTGATTGATTGAT